TGAGTGTGAGTGTGTGTGTGTGTGTGTGTGTGTGTGTGTGTGTGTGAGAGAGTGTGTTTGTGAGAGAGGTTGAGTGCAGGTCCGACTAACTGAGTTTTGAAAAGGTTTCATTTTGAATGCATAACTGTCTAAGTGTTATTATGATTTTTTTAATAAACTAGAGTAATGTGAAACAGAGTTTGATACTTTACCTAAAGGAAAAACATGACATGACTCTAAACTAATGAAACATGAAACTAAACACACAAACTCTCAAAACATCAGATCTCATGAAGGTAAAGTGCTTTAATCTGCACTGATTATTAATCGTTCTCAAATTCCAGTAAAATAAAAAACAACACAAATTTAACATGATGTAAAGAGTTTCTCGCTCTCAAAAAACAAAAAGTTTCAGCACATGCTCTCCTGTGTACGGAGTCCTGGCGGTGCGACATGCATCGGTCCGTGAACACACCACAGTGCGGCTCTGCTTCACACGTCGATGCTGATGCGAGCGAAGCGGTACTGCAGTGACGAGGGGTTTCGCAGCAGAATGAGGCCGCGCTGCTCCTGCGGCTGCTGAAGGATGGTGTGCAGGAGTCCAGACACACTGATGAAGGCCAGCGCCTCGCCACAGCCTGCAGCCAGAGAGAAGTCTCCCTGCGTCACCCAGCCCAGAGTCAGCCGGCTGCAGTGGGGCAGAACACTGGGCAGCGGCGCCGGACACACACCCCTCACGGCACGGGCCGGATCTTCAGGACCGGTTGTGTTCTGACGCAGGCGTTTGAGGTGGTCTTTGTGTCGAGGCTCCTCCGGGCCGCTGCTGTGTGCATCTTTAAGCAGCAGCTGGAGGTCAGAGGTCGTCGGGACGCACACCATGGCATGCAGTGCCGGCTGGCCTTTACCCAACAGACGCAGACGCACCCACACCAGACTCGGCCCACACTCCTGCTGCAGCGCCGCGGCCGTCGCATGGGTCAGCGCTGAGGAGCTCCTGCGAGACGAGGGACGACTCCACGCCGACAGCCGCCGCAACGCCTTCAGACTCCTGCAGACACAGAGACTGATCATGTGACACACAGAGGCTGATCATGTGACACAGCGGAGTAAAACGAACAGCAATCGATCGACTCTGCAAGTCGTGTAGTGTATGACTGACCTCAGAACAGTGAAGGGTCCGGTTCTGCAGCCGCCTGTCGTCTCTGCGCTCAGATTCACTAGCTCCTCCCACTCCTCCGTCAGCTGTTGCCAGGGGCAACGGAACGGCGCCAAGCAGCCATGTTTGATGTAGTTGGTGCGTTTGGACGGAGGACGTCTGAAAGCAGTGAAGTGATTTTCTATTTAATCATGACTGAGACACTGTTGCGCTGAAGGGCATAAAACACAAGATTTCTCCACACAGCCCTCACCTTTTGAACTTTTGTAGAAGCTCCGCCTCCTGCTCTGATTGGAAGCGCACTCCTGCAGGGCAGTCTGGGTAATCGTGAGGGAAGTGAGGCTGACCCATAAACTGGGAGTGTTTGACACTCATGTGGAGGCCTCCGACACGAACACCACGATACACCTACAAAACACATTCACATTGATCTGATGTGTAAAGTGAAGTAACCGAGCGCGAGGCGGCAGAAATACTGATTGAAAACGATGATCTATCAGTGATGCTGCTGAAGAACTACAGGATCTTTTATGCTCTGCGTGTGATTCCAGTGAAGATGCTCAAGACTTCCTTTTTGCAGCTTGTTTTCCGAGTTACTGGCGTGGAAAGCTCTGAACAGAAGATGTGATTTGTTCGGTGTGTCAGTAACTAACGGCAGTGTTGTTCTGCAGTGAAAGCACAGACCACAGATTGTTGTGTGTAACCTTAACCCACCATCGGCTCAGTCCATCTCGAGCGCTCCAGTGGTGCTGCTGGACCATTTTTAACTGTCCTCTTTTTTTAAAGTACCTCTATGTATTGGTTTTACAAAACCACCATTTATTTTGTTATTTTAACCACAGCGGTTGTCTTTGTGTCATGGGACAAATTATTTTAAAAGTTCTGTCCCCCTTGGATTATTTCCAAGGCCCCTGCTTTAGACAACTGTATGTCAATCATAAACAATTACTGTAAAGTACTGTTCAACACTTATTATTTGTCATTCGTGTACAACATCTGTTCATTTCTCAAACGATGAATAAAGTAGGCTTTTCTCTTGGATTTTTCAAACTCAACATAATTACAGCAGGGTTATATATTCCTTTCCAGCCCCCCATCAGAGATAATCAACCCTACAGTGAGGGGATTTTTCTCTAAAAACAGTCAGGCATCCTTCTTTGAGCCACTTGAGATGGAAAATCCAGCGTTCCTGGGGACTTTACACTTGATTCCACTTACAAAAATAACTCTGACAAGAATCAAATTGGGATCAAAATGAACAAGGTGGACCAAACACAGACGGCGTCAGTACATACCAGAGGGACCCAGAATGCCATTCCCCAGCCCTTGGGCAGCAGCAGATCCCAGCCAGAGCCCCAATGCAGACGCTCCTCGCCCCGAACACGACCGCCCTGATGAACCAGCAGCAGAGGAACAGCAGCCTGAGGAGCAGCCGACAGCCTCGAACCCGGAACCAGCAGCTCAGTCCTCCTCCTGTTCAGCTCCTGACAGACAGACAGACACGACTTCATCATTACATACATCGGAAAGAGTCATTTAAAAGATCTCCTCCAAACAGCCACGATCAGGAGCTCCAGTCATGAGGACTGTGATGTTTGTAGATCTATGGACATCAACACCAATATGAAGAGATGTTCACAAAGATATCTTAAAGAGGCAGTCAGAGACTCTAGACCCAATGAATTACGACATTATAAACAGAGCAAAAGCATGTTCCATATGATCCGTTTATTACAGCCTGTAGAGCCTCGTGTGTGTTTACCTGCTCAGACAGTCGGTTGTGCGTCACACAGTCTCGAGCAGACGCGTCCCACAATGCACTCTGACTGCAGTGAGCCGCAACTCCTTTGAGAGTCAGATCTCTCACACCACTGTCCTCTAACACACACACACACACTCTCTGAGTTTGAGAAGAATCACAGCGAAAACATTCCTGAAGTGTGATTGACTCTGGTGCAGTGAGACAGTGCTGTGTGTGTGAGAAGAGACAGAGTCTCAGGCCCTGCCAGGATTCGAACCTGGTTCATCTGCATGGAGACGCAGCGGCTCCCTGAGCTCAGGGTCAAACACACACACACACACACTCCTGCACCCGTCTCACTGCGTGACGCAGCGGATTCATGTGTACCTGCGCTCTGCTGTAGGTCAGGTACAGATTTACCACGTTTCTGAGGTAAAGTGAGTCTGGGATCATCTACAGTCAGTCCCAACACACAGCCTGCTGGGAGCTCTGCTGTCGAACACACTCCTGTAAAACACACACACACGCTGAGATCTTGGTCTCCATGTAAAGCAGCGCTGGCTGTCATGTGACGTCAGTCTTCGTTCACCTCTCAGCAGGTGGAATATGTCTGTCTGCTGCTGATGGACGCTCACACCGGCCTCGTCTGTACTGCGACTTCTCGGCTCCTACAGTAACGAGAGTCACTCATCAGCGCGTCAGTGACTGACGGACACATCAGCGTGAGTGTGATGTCATCAGCAGTCTCTCACCTCACTGGCTGGCTGGAGTGTGTCTGTGAGCACCACGTGAGCCAGCGGACCAATCAGACGATAGCGCACGATCTCCATGGTCAGGTCACTAAACAGGACATCAGGAATGATCACATTTCACAGCTATAACTAACCCGAGTCGACACGTGCTTTACAGTAACATCAGATCACTGGAGCATCTAGAGCTGATTCTGTGACACCAGAGACATCAGAACACCTACAGGATCAAAGCGGCCAGTGCAGCTGCTTCAGAGGACAAATGATTAGGACGTGCACTGACACGTTTCTGATCACTGATCATCACAAAGCGTCACGTGACATCATCAGTCAGAGGTCAGCATGTGTTTACGGCACCTGATGGTGATGGCTGTGTCAGGGGACTGCCAGCGCACAGGGGCTCCTGCAGGCCGCGTCCCATCACCCAACAGCCTTTTGGAGGGTTGCTCAGCGTCAGCTTCGTCTCTCTTCCTCTTCCTCCCTGCAGGCAGCTCCACAGCGGGACGAGACTCCTCCGAGACGGACACGGCCTCGAAACACTGACACACCAGCTGCAGCTCCGACAGCACGTCCTGACACACAGAAGACAATTATCCATATAACACATTTCATTACCACACAAAACAAGCGCCAAACAACATCCAGTGTCACATGAGAAACCACACGCTTGTAACATGTTGTTCAAGCATTTGCATCCGAGTCTGTTTCTGGCCTCAGTGTTTGACCTGTTTAAGGGCCGGATGGATCCAGATCCACAGCTGTCTGTCTGAGGCGTCAGGGACCCGGGGCCTCCACAGGAAGTCAGCAGGACCCAGAGAGCCTTCAGGAAACTGATCTGCTTTGTACAGATGGACGCTGTCCTGACGAGCACGAAATCACGAGGTGTAAGTATGTAACGCTCTTCTCTGAGAAAATGACAAACATGAAGCACATGTATGCGAGCGTCACCTGCAGCAGGGCGTGTGTGTTCATGGCTCTGTAGCTGGCTCTGAAGCTCTTCGCCGTGGGTTTGAGCGGCAGACAGTAGCTCCACGTCTTCAGCATGTGGAAGCGCTTGGCGTGCCAGATATGCGTCTCCAGCCATTTGTTCTTCCTCTGTCTGCGATTGAACTCCAGCAGCAGGTTCCCGTGTCTGCGGCGCGCTCGACGACTCCTGCTTCTGGGCTCCTGCTTCTTCTCTTTCTCTGGTGCACGCTGACTTCGCTCGGCCTGGACACACAAACACACGCTGTGAACGAGGTCGAAGAAAGAGACGCATGTTAATGAGTATTTGACTAGGGTTGTCAAAAGTACCAGACCGTGTGTATCTGTGCAAGCGCTCGCCGAAGAGCATGAAGGATGTGCATTTACAACATGTTTCTGAAGAGATGATCATTGTAGCCAATCACAGACATATCTGATGAGTGTGTGAGCACAACGGCCAATCAGAGTTGTTTAAGAATCCGCTCAAAATGCTAGCGGGAAATGCTGGTATCGTCACATTCGTGAAAGTTCAGAACCGATTTGGTACTTTTGACAACCCTGCATACGAGCAGTCAGACTGTGCGGGACTGCTGTGAGACGGGTGTTTTGTGGGTTTCTCAGTACCAGTCTCTGAGCTCCCTCGCGCAGACGGCTCGGCAGTCTCTTGGTGCTGTGGCTCAGGGCTCGTCTGCGCATGTGCTTCGGCAGAGCGGTGAAGATGTGGCAGCTGCCTGCAGGTTTACTGACGGCCTTCAGCATAGCGTTCACTTCAGCGGCGCGCGCTTTAGCGAAGGACGAGGCTGCAGAGAGGAAGGAACATCTAAGACTTCGCTTCATTAACAGTTAGTTCACAAAAATGTATTCCAGTATACACTATATTCATTTATGGAACACATTTCATCAGTTCTTGTATTTGCCGCTGCATGACTTTCTTACACAGAACTTAACAGATTCACGCAGATCTAAAGTGAACAGGAACAGACGGAGTTGTTTCGCCACTTTCAGATCACATTAACGTCTGAGTGCAGTCAAATATGTGTGTCATAATTAGCTTGACATCAATTATGCAAACAACATTCTGCTTCAGGCGTGTCTCAAAACTGATCCTGCTTTAAACATCACGCACAAGTCATAAGAAGTACTTTTATGCTTTTTTTTTTGTCATTTTGTGGAGCTTGACAACCTCTGGTCACTGCTAAACACCTAATAGCAGAAGTTTTAAATTTTTATTGAACTATTCTTTAGTTATGAATGTTAACCTGTGATGTATTTGGGCAGATCTTGACTGTAACTGTGACCCCCATGCTGATGACCTCTGACCCAGCCGCATGCCTGTGACCCCTGACCTCTCCCGGTACCGCGACCTGTAGACGATGAGCATTCAATCAATAATACAAACGATATGTGATCAAATACATCGATATGTGCTGAATGAAGCCTTTATCAGCACTGGTCACCTGAGCTCGTGTAAATGACGTTTCTTGGCTGATTCTTCATCTTTTTTTCTCTCATTCTGTCTTTTGCTCCAGTCATCTGAAACACAGTTTCACTGCAGTGACTCCACCGTATGTACATTACAGGCCATAGCATAGAGAAATGATTACACACACGCACACACACACACACACACAGAGACACACACACGCACGCACACACACACACACACACTCACGCAGACACACACACAGAGACACACACACACAGACACTCTCACACACAAAACCATTCAAAAGGTGAAATGTTGATATCTTTTCCTCTCCAGCGTGTATGTTAGTGTACAGTTAGCTAGTTTACTGTATGTTAGTGTACAGTTTGCTAGTGTACTGTATGTTAGTGTACAGTTTGCTAGTGTACTGTATGTTAGTGTACTGCACGCTAGTGTACTGTAAAATGTTGATATCTTTTTGCTAGTTTACTGTATGTTAGTGTACAGTTAGCTAGTTTACTGTATGTTAGTGTACAGTTTGCTAGTGTACTGTATGTTAGTGTACAGTTTGCTAGTGTACTGTATGTTAGTGTACTGCACGCTAGTGTACTGTATGTTAGTGTACTGCACGTTAGTGTACTGCACGCTAGTGTACTGTATGTTAGTGTACAGTTTGCTAGTGTACTGTATTGCACGTTAGTGTACTGCACGCTAGTGTAATGTATGTTAGTGTACAGTTTGCTAGTGTACTGTATGTTAGTATAGTATATTGCAGACTTTGCATTGTGTCATGCAAATACAGCTGAATATTATTTTATTGTTTCTTGTTTTAAAGTCACACTGGATAAAGGTTTGGTTTAAATTAGCGTCAGTATAAAGAGTGCTGTCGTCACAATCTTCACACAACACGAATGGAGTAAAATCAGACTTCATTCACAAAGGTAAACAAAGGTAAACCAGTAATTTACCATCCATTAACCTGACCACAGATGACATGAGGAACCGGACGTGAAATTAAACTGTTTTACCTTAAATCGTCGCAGTTTTCTGTTTTGTTTGTTGGTGTGTGCCAGTGATTATTTCAGCAGAGATCTTCAGTTCACTCCGTTTCCTGATCGATTCAGCGATAAAACACGCGCCTCCAACCTCAGTTACTCGGTTAAATGAACCTGGTCGGTTTAATTTGCTTTCAACAGTTTGTGCGGAAGTTTCCTGTCCGCTGCTGCACACGTGCGCACTCTGCGCTGATTTCCGCTTTAGAGGATGATGGGAAATGTAGTTCATTCAGCTCAAAGACGCGTTAACTAATCACCAATGGATTGATGAAATCATATACGTCATGTAAAATGAAAGACATAAAACACGTGTAGTAAAAATACATACTTAATATGAAATGAAGGTATTGAAGAATTTTACAGCAGTTTCTTCGAAATCTTCGCTGGACATGAAATGAAATGCATCTGACCACATTATGAAAACCTCCAGCATCAGCATCTCATAACAATGTTTGTCTTTAAATTAAGACAGTCATTCTTAATAATCAAGAGGCTATTATAATAACTATAATTTTAACTATCAGCTTTTTTATCAGCAATCCATAAACTATATGCACGCGTCTCCATGTGATCGCATTATCTGAGCATTTTTCCTTCTAGTTAAAGTTTAATGAGCAGAAGAGTAAATGTTTAGTGTTTCACCTAGAAACAGAATGTCTGTAATAGCTCAGGCATGTGTCTCTATATGTACCTAGTATATTAATTCTTTACTGTGTTTAGGATTTGTCAGCATTATAATTCAGGCGTTACCTCCAGATGCTGCAGATTCCCCTAAAATCCAAACTCATGCATGACGGATGAGAGAGAGAGAGAGTGTGTGTGTGTGTGTGTGTGAGAGAGAGAGAGAGTGTGTGTGTGTGTGTGAGAGAGAGAGAGAGAGAGTGTGTGTGTGTGTGTGTGTGAGAGAGAGAGAGAGAG